AATGACTTTTTACGTTTAAATTTGTGGTTTATGAAAAATGATTTAATTGAGCTGGATTGAATTATATATATTATTCATGTAAAATGAATTAAAGTTTATAATTACTTCCAATTTTATGCTTTAGTGGGTATTTGGCAAATTGAGAAGGACGAAAATGCTATGGTTAGGTATTTTGCATTTTCTTCCCTAATTACTCACCATTTTACGTGATAGTCCTACCCAAAACTCTGGTGCAAATACACCAGATGACAAAGATGCTGCCAAACTCAAATATTTAGTATCAATCCAAAATTTCTTCCCAATTTAAATAATTAGGTCAACATCGTTTCTTCCTCTTCAACCAAATTATGGGTATTATACAATAATGTTTAATAGGGTAAATGAGAGGATATATATTTTATATAACATTTTGCTGAATTTTAAAAATCTATAAGAAGTGTATATTCATGTTTTACATACGAGTTACAGGAATTTTTTTTTTAGTTTTTTTTTTCTATTTTTATTTTGTTAGAATGTTGAAACAGATGTTTTAAAATCATACTCATCATTCAATGGGTAAAAATATGGGTTTAAAGTGTAAATATTAATTAAACTAAATATAATAAAATAATATTTTTATAATATAATAAATATATAATAAATTTATTAATAACAATATTTTTTATTAAAAATAAAAATAATAAATATTAGTACTATGATTATAAATTTTAATAAAAATTATAAATATAAAATATATATCAAAATATAAGACAGATGAAAATATAATAAAATAATTATTATTTAATATAAATAAAAAAATTAAAATATATTATATTTTTTATAAAAAAATATATTAAAATTTTGATTTTTTAACAGATTAAATCAAATGATTTTTTTCAATTTTATTAATTTTATATCAATTTTTAATTTTATTTTAATTTAATTAAAATTTATTATTTAAAAATAAATTTTTAGATTGGTTTTCTACTGTACCGGTTGAACGGTCAACCGAGTCCCATTTTTAAAACACAAACAAAACAATTTTAATTTAAGAACAGAAGAAGAAAACATAGTTATACAATAAAGTTTGTTCACAGTTATTGACATTCATTCTTGTATTTATTATTTTATATTAACAACGTAAAGAAGGAAACAGATAAAGAGAAAGTAAAGTCATCATTCAGTTACCATTTCTGGTCCAAATGCAAGTTCCTCAGTGAAGTCAATTTTTCATCTAATTTAAAACCCTTTATTTATTTTAGTGCAGACAAAGAAAATGAAGAGTTCTTTTCTTTTTTTCTCAGAGTTGGAGTCAAATATATGAACATTACCTAACATCACATAGACTCTCACCTTTTAGTTGCTTTTTGCCTACCCTAAATGTGTATGATCACACAATGGGGGAACCAAAGAGGCAAATGCACCAATTTAGGTAAACTTTCATAACATCAAAATTAAACATCTTTGATTGATTCCACAACTTCTCTTGATGACCCTTTTTCATTTTATTTCTAAAACTCACAGAACTTATATTGTTTATTATAAGAATAAAATATGTTCACTATTGAATAATCCTCTCCCCCCTTTGACTTTCTTAACACAGATATTTTGGCCTTTAAAATACAGAGATTATAGACGGATTTTCTTGGTCACTTCTTATGTGAGGGTTTTTTTCTTTTATCATTTTAATTCTCTCAGCAACATTCATTTCACCAATTGCTTGCTTAATTGTTTTCTCTTCGACCCATCACCATGGTTTTGGGTTGGCGTTGCTCTGTGTGTCTCTTATTTGTCTTGGTGGGTTTGAGAGTAGAAGAGGCAAATGCTCAGTTTTATAGAAAAGTTGGAAAAAAACACTTACCTTACTGGTCAATAGTGGTGGATCAATCAGGGCATGGAAACTTCACTACAATACAATCTGCCATTGATTCAGTCCCTTCTGACAACAAATATTGGGTTTCCATCAAGGTGAAGGCTGGTACATACAGGTAAAAAATTATACTAAGAATGTGCATCATGCATTTCTTGTCAGTAAATGATTCTTTAGTATAATAATTTTATTGATTGTGTCAAACCCTGTAACCTCAATGAACTGAAAAATGCTTTTGTTTTGTTTGTTTCAGAGAAAAAGTGAAGATTCCTTATGATAAGCCATACGTCATATTAAAAGGGGAGGGAAAGAGAAGAACTATTGTTGAGTGGGATGATCATGATAATACCTCACAGAGTCCTACTTTTGCAGCCATGGCTGACAATATTATTGTCAAATCCATGAGCTTTAGGGTAAGAATGTTCCATCTTACGAAAAATTAATGTTGCCTCTTTATTTTTTCTTTAATCAAATTAAATCTTTGTCTTTAATTATGAGCTTTTGAAATATTTTTCCTGATTTAAACCATGATAACCAAATCTTTGGCAGAGAATAATGTACAAAAATAAGAATACTGAGTTGTCATATTTTCCTTTAAATGTGTGTACGAGGAACAGAATTCATACAACAACCCAATAAACAGTAAACCCATAATGCCTGCTGTGGCTGCAATGATCAGCGGAGACAAGTCATACTTTTTCAGAGTTGGTTTCTTTGGTTTGCAAGACACATTATGGGACGACACTGGAAGACATTACTACAACCTTTGTTCCATTCAAGGTGCTGTTGATTTTATCTTTGGTGCAGGGCAATCATTATTTGAGAGGTGTTCCATATCTGTTATTGGTGGGGCTCTGGATCCTGGGCTATCAGGTTTCATTACAGCACAAGGGAGAACAAATTCAGAAGATGAAAATGGTTTTGTTTTCAAGGAGTGCCACGTGTTTGGAAATGGGTCAACTTACTTGGGGAGGCCTTGGAGAAGTCATGCTAGGGTTTTGTTTTACAAGACCAACATCTCCAACGTTGTACAACCAGCTGGTTGGGATGCATGGAATTTTCATCCACTTGAGGGTGGCATCACATTCGCAGAGTACGAGAATTTTGGCCCAGGTTCTGACACTTCTCAAAGAGTGAGTTGGACCAAGAAGTTGGATTTGGAGACAATTCAGAACATGACAAGCACCAAGTTCATTGACACTGATGGCTGGCTTCAGAAACAACTATTCTAATGGAAACTGCTAAAATCTTTCACTGAACGAATAAAACAAAAGCTTCACCAGCTTCATCTGTACGAGGAAGAATGCATCGAATAGTTTGAAAATCCAATCTTCTTATAAAACAAGTAATTCATTTTTTCTTGATTATTCAATAATGTAGTCACTTTTGTTATGTATAGAGAATTCATTCATACATATAGTCCTGTTTAGTGTTATTGGATTTGTGTGATTTGTCTCAAATCCATTTCATATTTTCTAAAAATGTTGAAAAAGTTATAATTAATAGGTTCAATTTGGATGTTTATATATATTTTTTCTTATTCTCTATAAAATAAATTTTTTTTGATTCTGATCTCTATAATTTTTTTGTTCTTAGAACTATTATTTTTATCCTACTATTATATCGTGTTTATGGGTTGAATAATGTACGAAGTTATCATTTATAAATTACGCATATTAACGTTACAATATATTGTTATAAAATGTCTTAAAAAGAAAAACTTTTTAAGATTTATAAAATAAATATAATCTATTTATCATAAATTCATAATAGAGGTCAAGAATAATCAATCAAAAAATTTCACTAAATAAAAATAGTTAGTGGTAGATTTTGTTTTATTAGTTACTAAACAAAACAAATTAAATAGTATTTTAGTATTTAAATTTTTTTATGGCTAACCATCAAGAATTTGATAGATTTTCGAATTATTAATAGCATAATTTCTTATGCAACATGGAAAAAAATATTATTATTAGAGTATAGGAATTGGGATAAAACTTATCTTTGTAGCATCAAAATGCATTATTTTTAAATAAGTTGCTTAATTACACTTAGAGGGTTTACAATATAATACACAAGGTTAAGTACTAAATAAAAATTCATTCGAATGTAGTGTTGTTAAATGAATATTTAACCTATTATAAGTCTTACAAATAACTAAATATTAATAATCAAAATATTTTGTATTACTTTTTTTTAATTTAAAATTCCTTAATTTTTTTAAGAGAGCACAGTTACTTAAATAAATATGATATGATTTGATCCTTCTCACTCTTTATAATATAGATAGATCAATAATCTACTTTATTAATAAATAAAAATATAATTGAGAACCCTTAGAACAAATATTTACATAAAGGAAGTCATTACAAAAATAAAAAATCCACATGAATTGAAAAGTTAAAATATTTATATTTATATTTAATATATATATAGTCCTTCTCACTCTTTAGAATATAGATAGACTAGTAATCTACTTTATTAGTTAATAATAATTAATAGAGTATCCTTAATGGAAAAAATATTTACACAAAAGGAAGGCATTAAAAATTAATAATAATAAAAAAATCCAAAGAAAAGAATTAACAAAATGAAAAGTCAAAATATATATAAAATTAAATAATATATATTTTTATTTGGAATATATTTCTATAATAGACTATAGTTAATATTTAAATTAATTAATATATTAAATTAATTTAAAAATAATTAATTGAAGCTTTTATTTTTATTAGACCCTATCCAAAATAACGTTTTTTTTTATTTTACTTAAAAAATATTAATTTTTGAGCATAGAAAGTAAACACAATTATTATATATAAAAATATGCTCTTGATCTTCATGTTATGATTCCTAGAGGAATCAAATTTTGCATGGTTTTTTAGACTCATAAAGCAATATTAAATATGAGTCCTTGTAGGACCCCATTTCATATAATGAATAAATCTTCCTTTAAATGTATGCACATTTTTATTTTTATTTTATTTTTTTTGCTTATAATTGTCTAATCTTCCTTTCAATATAAAAATCTTTCATTTCCTTACATGAACTCATCGTGATAAAGAATTTGTCTTTTAAATACCAATCCTCATCTGCACAACCCTCATTCAACATAAGAGTTGAATTTCTAAAAATCTTGTTTTCTCTCATCATGTCTCTTGCTTGGTCTTCCATTATATGTCTCTTTCTTTTAGCAAGCGTTGAAGCAGTGTCAGCAGCACATATATATCAAGGTCAACAAGACCTTCGTCACAGTGGCCAAAAACAGTTTCAGAAGAAAGCAGTTTCTCGTCACAAGGCAATTATAGTTGACAAATCTGGGCATGGAGACTTCTCCAAGATACAGTCTGCCATTGATTCTGTCCCTTCCAACAACAAGCATTGGGTTCACATCAAAGTCAAGGCAGGCATTTACAGGTACAAAATCTGGTTTTGATTCAAATATATTACATATATATTCATATGTATGATGTTGTTATATTGGATCATATATATTATATTTCATAAAACAAAACAAACATTTCTGATATGTGTTTTGTGGTGAAAGGGAGAAGGTGAACATTCCTGGTGACAAGCCTCACATAGTCCTACAAGGTGAGGGGAAAAAGAAGACCATTGTTGATTGGGCTGACCATGATTCAAGTGCACAGAGTCCTACATTTCTAACCATGGCTAACAATATCGTGGTGAAGTCCATGAGCTTTAGGGTGAGAAATAAATTCCTCTTACTGTTTCTCTTCACTACGTTTCTGTTTCCCTTCATTGCACAATGCTTTATTTATTTATACGTTTCATTGAGAAAAAAAAACTTGTTTTTTTTTTTACATTTTGACCTTACATATTCTCTCTACATTTCATTTTCTTACCCATCAACAGAATATGTTGAACAGTTTCATGCTAAAGAGGTTAACAGTTTCTACCATTCAACTTATCATATTTATTGCAAAGAAAATCTGATTGATCCTGTTAAATGATGATTCGGTTTAAGAAGTTTTAATAGAAAATCCTTGCTATATAACTTTTTTCTTTTATTGTTGAGAAAACATAGTAAATTTAAGCTAATAATTTGTTGACAAAGGGTATATTTACCTTTAGTTATTAAAATATAAAAAAAAATCAAATATTTCCAAAGAACTAATATTTTTACTATTATTATCAATTTTAGAAAATGACTTTTAGTTTTCCTAATTAGAGTGGTCAACTCTTTTATGATAATTGAAGAGAATAAAACAAAATCATAGAGAAATATATACACTATGTATAATCAGTTTATTTTTGTGGTGAATCATGTTGAGCAGAATTCATACAATTATCCAAAATATGTGCACTCCATGACACCTGCAGTAGCTGCAATGATAAGTGGAGACAAGTCTTCGTTCCACAACGTTGGCTTCTATGGTTTGCAAGACACTTTGTGGGATGAGCAAGGAAGACACTACTTCAATTCATGCACCATTCAGGGTGCCATGGATTTCATCTTTGGCACTGGACAATCTTTGTACGAGGTAACAATAACGATGATAAATTGCAGCAGACTTACTTTTCCTTACGCCATCATGATTTGTTCATATATATGTTTTCAGAGGTGTAGCATATCAGTTCTTGAAGCGTGTCCAGGTGAAGCTGTTATCGGTTTCATCACTGCCCAAGGGAGAACAGGTCCTAACGATGCAAATGGGTTTGTTTTTAAGAACTGCAATATCCATGGTTTTGGAAAAACATACTTGGGAAGACCATGGAGAGGTTATGCCAGAGTTCTTTTCTACCAAACTAAAATGTCTGACATTGTCCAACCACTAGGTTGGCAGCCATGGAATTCCGCTGGGCACGAGTAAGAACAGTTCTTACTTTTGTGTCTGAGTTTATGATTTCATTTTGGTGATGATGGATCCATTTATACATGCAGGGGTAGAATAACGTTCGCAGAGGAGGATAATTTTGGACCTGGTTCCAACACGTCTCAGCGAGTGAGTTGGTTGAAGAAATTGAGTCCATTAACAGTGAAGGAAATGACAAGTACTCGTTTTGTGGACATGGAAGGTTGGCTCAATATCCATCACCGCTTATAAGTTCATGTCTTTCAGAATTGTTGAAATGTGAACTCTTTGATCCACCAATTATCCAAAAGCTTCAATCAATGTCAGATCTTTTCGTTCCCACTCGCGAGTAGCATAGATCATATCTTTTCAATTTTCAGTCTCTCAGAATATTTGGTCAACCTCTCTTAATATGTAATGATCCAAAGAAATAAACAACTTTTAATTCTGAGTTCTATATTTAGTCTTTGGAGGTGCATTTTGGTTAGAGGATAATGCCCATTGTGCTAATTTTGTAATTCTATTTCCATGTACATAAATATCATTGATGAATGATAATTTAATAAACTTTTATACTATGAATACCTTTATTATTTATAAAAAAAAACAAAACAAAAAACTTCAAATAAAATAATATATGTAGATGGATTATGGTGCACCATTTTTAATATCGTAAACTTTTAATATATGATTTGAAGATTGGTAGGGAAGTCTCGTTTGAAGATCTATTAATTTAGATCATGAAAATTTTTGGTACACGGCACGTTATTTTTTTCATATTCAAAATCTTGATTTCTCAAAATTAATACTTTTAATAATGACTAAATTTAATCGATCAAATTTGACTATAACAAAACCATAACAAATTTTTTAGTGTTTTAATATAATTAAAAAAATACTACAAATCAAATCTCATGACATTTTCTTAAGCTCTTTTATTGAATATATATACGGAAACTAATAAATCTGTCTTAATAAAACTCTTTAAAAAAAATCTAAATAAAAAAATATACTTTTTCGATTCTAGTTTGTAAAGTTTTATCATAAAAATGTTTTTTTTTTAAATAGTGAATGTAGTAATTTAAAGTGTATAAATGTTTTAATTTAGTTATAAAAATTTAAATAAAATATATAAAGATATTTTTTATCTTACATATTGTTAGTAGGAAACCGATAAAGGGATCGAGAAACAAATGAGAGCAAATCGAGAATCCTTTTTGATTGAGTTAAAGACTGATAAATCGAAAGATAGCTGGAAAATGCGTTTGACGACCATGTGACAATATAAGCGAGAATTTGAATCGAGAATCGAAGGATGAATGTTTAATATCCGTTAGTGAATGAAATCGAGAAATCAGAATTATGTAATGTTAAGATTAAGAGAAATCAAAGGCAAGTCAAACGTTTTCGAGATTCCGAAATCAACATTGGAGAAAGGTTAACCCATGTATCGAAATCCCGGCTAAGTTATAAATAAAGAAACAATTGACGTGTACATCAAACGTGGTAAGCGATGGCAAAAGTCCAAGGTCAAAGAAGCAGTTATCTCATGTATGGGAACGTGAAGACAGTTTTTAAACCATGGTAGAGGTAGAAGATCATGGGAACGTGGGTGCAGTTTTGACACCGAAGAAGAAACTGCAACATGCACGTAGGACGTGGTAGCAGTTTTCATTAACTGCTCCTAAGAAGTTACTTGCTTAAAGGATGCTCTATAAATAGGGCGAAGGATGAAAGGAAAGAGGAGGAGGGGAGCGTGGAAAATTGGCAGAGAGAACCGGAATATTAGTGAGAAGTCTACCGGAGAATGACGAACATCATGAAGTTTCTGGCGATCTGGATTTCCATGTTCATCGATTCCCTTTACCGTTTTCTTTATTTTCCCTGGTAATTTACTTTGATGCATTTTATATTTAGCAACTTTAAGTTTCTGTGTTTTCGATTCTCAGTCAATTTCAGTTTAATGGAAGTTAAGTTTTCTGCATTTAAATTTCCTGTCCTTTAACTTCGATGCAAATTCGATTTCCAGTTATTTACATTTTCTGCGTATTTCGATTTCTTATCATTTACATTTCTGTAATTTCGATTTCATGTCATTTATCTTAATGCAATTTAAGTTTCTGTACTTTCGATTTCATGTCATTTATCTTAATGCAATTTAAGTTTCTGTACTTTCGATTTCATGTCATTTACACTTAATGCAATTTCGAGGTTTCCGTACTTTATATTCTCTGAAATTTAATATTTCTTCGCAGCCACGATAATGGGATTTTCTCGATACTGTGATATTTTTTATTCTCATATGCATCTCGATTGAAAAAACATTTGCTAGCCTAAGTAAAAAGAACTTGCGTGGTTGAGTTTTGGTTAGAACAAAATATCTTAAGAATCGGAATCGATCAAAATTCCACCAGAAACAAATTGGCGCGCAAGATAGGGGTAGCCTTGTGTTAAAAACACAAAATTGGTTAGTTCGAGAGTATATGAGATTAAGGAGTGGGCGAGTTATAAGAATGAGTCAAAATTCAGCAAATAATCAGAGCAACAATGAGAGTCTAAATGGTGTACATTCACCAAATACTGGGGGGCAAAGTCATAATGGGAATATGCCTGTAACATCGACAACTGCGAGTATGTCGATACCTGTGGGTAATGAACAAAATTTAGGCACCTTAACAAACACCCAAGTAGGATCTAGCGTGGTGGTACCAAATAGTATGCAAACTGTGGGAAACCCCACAACAACATATGTAGGGCCATATATGAGTGTAAGACCACCTGAGTTTTCGCTTAATAATATGAGTGGGGCTGGAACTTCTTCAACACAGCAGAATTTGAGATATAACTTAGGAATGCCTCAAACACTAGGTATGCCACAAAATTTTGGAGTCCCTCCGAATTTAGGGACATCTCAAAACTTAACAATTCCCCAGAATTCAGGAAGTGGACAAAATTTAGGGACACAACAGACACCTCCAAATCTAGATCACAGAGCAAATCTGGATCATGGGAGAAATGCATTCGATAGAGATTATCATCGGTCTAATTTTGAGACTTTTGAAAACACTAGTACTGGGATCTCCAACAACTCACTAGGAGTACTTAGACAACAAATGGATGAGAGCAATTTTGAGATGGTGAATATGTTATCACAACAGTTGACTACAGTCCTAAATCCATTAGGTCAAAACACTACTGCTAGTTTTGAGATATTAGCAGACCAAATGTCACGAATCGGGGATGCATTGGCTATACCTCGACGAACAAGGGTAGAAAATCATGCTAACCAGAATGCTAACATCAATCCCCCGTACCTATTGAGGAGAAATCGAAATAATGATCAACAACAGCATACGGGGAATGAATACCAACAGGTGAGGAATGATATTGGTGGGAATCTGAATGAGGGATTTCAAAATATATACAATTAGAATAACATGCAGTATAATCATATGTTAGGACAGAGGATGAATTTCCAAGGGATGGAATTTAGACCACCCAATCAAACATACTTTGTGTCTCCCTTCCCAAATGCGATTCTCGAGACGGAATTACCTCGAGGATACAAAGTACCTAAATTCACCAAATTTGCTGGAGAAGTTGGTGAATCAACTATCGAGCATGTAGCTCGATATCAGATCGAATGTGGAGACCTAGCGATGAGTGAGGAATTAAAGATGAAATATTTCCCTAGCTCTTTGACTAAGAATGCTTTCACTTGGTTTACTTCGTTGCCACCCAATTCGATATATAACTGGCTACAACTGGAAAGAAATTTTCATGAGCAATTCTTTAGAGGAGAAACTCAGGTAAGTCTCATCGATTTGATGAATATAAAAAGATATAATCATGAAAGCATAGATGATTATTTGAATCGATTTAGACTAATGAAGTCGAGATGTTTCACTCAAATTCCTGAGTATGAATTAGTCAGAATGGCCTCTGCAGGCTTAGAATTCTTGATTAGGAAAAAATTAGTCAATTTACCATTGAATGACATGACTCAACTAGCTGATAAAGTGAGAAGAGTGGAACAAATTGAGTATGAAAAACAAAGGTATAAAAAATATGAGAAACCCATGAAAAAAGAAAGAGTAGCATATATAAATGATGTATATGAGACAGATCCCATGACAGAAAATGATATCGAAGAAACTGTCGACGAGCAAGTAAATATAGCAGAGCTCAAAGTAGGGGCTCCATATATCTGTAAATTGCTACAAAAGAATGAAGTAAAAGATAAAATGGCAAATCGAACGTATACTTTCGATGTGACAAAAGCAGATAAAATCTTTGATATTTTATTAAAAGACAAACAAATTAAGTTGAGTGATGACCATAAACTGCCCTCTGCAAAACAAAGGAATGGTCGAAAATATTGTAAATTTCATAATGTTTATCGACATTGGACTAACAATTGTATACATTTCAGGAATACGATCCAAGATGCGATTGACCAAGGAAGATTGAAATTCGAAGAAATGTCAATGAAAGTGGACACGAGTCCATTCGAAGTTCAAGTGGGGTATATTGAATCTCAAACGGGCATGACTGAAGATGTCCGAGTGACGAATTCTGCTTTTGTAGGCATGGTCGATGTTATCGAAGACATCGATCCCAAGTATGTCGAATGGATGTATCTCGAAGAAGATATGGAATTCGAGAGGGAGATTTATCCTCGATCGGAGATTCTCTCATCGAAGTTTTTAAATAGAAAGAAAGAAAAAGATGAAGATGTGTCGTTATGTCCGCGATGCAGCGTAAAGATTCGACAAGTCAGCTGCTAAGACTTTCAGAGTGGAGCAGATGAAGAAAATCGAAAGATAGAATAAAAGGAAAAATGACAAAATGGATCAAACAAACCAACCAACGATCGGAGAAAGTCAACAGAAATCCGTTGGTTCTGGTGTTAGTGGGAACCAAAGACAGTGGGTTAAAAGAGAGATGTACCCTTCTCGAAGAGGAGAAAGCAGACTTCAGAGTAATGATGTCTTCGAGAGGCTTTCATACAACGGGGGATCGAATGCTGGATTCCCAACATTCCAAAGGCGATTCCGTGGAAGGCCCTGGAGAAGAGGAGGAAAGATCCCTTACTGGAATAATTACAGAAACTTTGAAGAGAATAATGTATCAATGGGGGGCCAATATGCAAGAGATTTTTTCGACGATAAAAATGAGGGTAGTTGGGATGATCATCAAATCGGAGTAATATCGATATTACCCGCAGAGTACGTTAGTGAGTATCAAGAATA